TGAACAGTGAACCTCGGAGGTAACTTCACCAGTGAGCTAAAAGGGCGTCTGGGGGCCATACTGTCGGGGTTTCTCCAGTCTCCTTTAGGCCAGTAAATCTGGTCTTTTTTTTGTGAGTTAGAATTATGCTCTACTTCCTTCTCCAGCTCTGTCCAGAGCCCTCTGTTGTGTTCCTGGTCAGAGCAGTCAGTGATGGTAGCCGGGCACCATCTAGCTGTACTGGACTCAGTCCGGTGGAGGCCTTGGTAGCTGTGGACAGTTAGTCCTTCGGACTAATCTTTTCCTTGTATCCCGTTCTCTTCATTCTGCCTTGCTCCCGAAGGGATGAGACCAGTGGAGTGTCTTAGATGGCCGCTCACAGTTAGCCGTTACTTTTGATGAATTTATTCAACCAAGTTGAAGTATACAGATTATTTTTATATCTGGTCTCTATTAAGCATACCAACACAGAAAGACCCTACTGGCCAGTATGATCATTCAGGTAGACAAAAATCTAAATGTATTAGCAGGTGTAATTGTTTTAATATTTTATCAACACCCTACATTTCTAATTTTCAACCTCAAAGATGAGAAGAAGCCTTAAGAAAGATGGCTTTCCCAAATTTCCCAAAAAATAAACAGAATTGAAAAAAGGGTGAGTACATGCAATAGAATGAAGTTGGACTCTTAGCTCACACCATATGCAAGTTAACTCAAAATGGATCATAGACTTTAAAGAGCTAAGACTATAAAACTCTGAGAAGAAAGATATAGGCATAAATCTTCACAATCTTGGGTTAGGCATGGTTTCTTAACTACACCACCGAAAGCACAAGGAACAAAAGAAAAATCTATATAAATTGGACTGCATCAGAATTAAAACTTTTATACTGCTAACAATTCATGAAGAAAGTGAAAAGAAGTGGGTGTTAATTCCCTGTGAGGTAGAGTCATGGAAGTGTTAAGTTTCTCTGTTATATTTACAATCATTTGATTTCAGATTATTAATTTGTTAATATCTATATTTGATTATTTTCTCATCATAAATGACTCTCACAACAGAATGTAGTATGTTTTTGTTGTACAAAATGATTTATGTACAAATATACCATTCCTGGAGTTGCATTTCAGAAACTGTTATAGATAACTAACTACTCTCAGATTCAGGAATACCAGAAAATTCTGAGCATGTAAATATAAATATACTTCTCTTTAATTTGCATTTGTTGAGAGATGCTTTTCATAGAGGAATAAGATAATGATAGGCTTAAAAAAAAGATTTTACAATGCTGTTTTATTAATAGGGAACAAAGAGAAAAGCTGTATCAGAATACCAGTCTCATGATGATAGTTCTGACAATTCAGAATGCAGCTTTCCTTTCAAATATACATATGGTGTAAATGCATGGAAACACTGGGTCAAAACTAGGCAACTTGATGAAGATCTCCTGGTATTAGATGAACTAAAATCTCGTAAGTGTTTTGATTTAATTTCTCCTAAGTCCTATTTGGAAACCCTGGTGGCATAGTGGTTAAGAGCAGCCACGGCTGCTAACCAAAAGGTCGGCAGTTCGAATTTACCAGGCACTCCTTGGAAACCCTATGGGGCAGTTCTACTCTGTCCTGTAGGGTTGCTATGAGTCAGAATTGACTCAACAGCAACTGGTTTTTGTTTTTTTTTGGGTTTTTAAATCCTATTTAAAATCAAGGTTTTGTTACTAACCACCTTTAAGTTTAAAAATATAAATATAGCTGGAATATGTTTAAAACTGATTCTAAATGCATTTTGTTTCAGTTTGAAGTTCTTATATGGAATAAATTAATTTCAGAAAGTTTCTTTAAGGACAGTAAATAATAAAAATTACTAATTTTATTTATTTATTTATAGCTAAATCAGTAAAGTTAAAAGAGGATCTTCTCTCTCACACCACGGCTGAGCTTAACTATGGGTTGGCCCATTTTGTCAATGAGATCCGACGGCCAAATGGAGAGAACTATGCACCTGACAGCATCTATTATCTTTGCCTTGGAATACAGGAGGTTTGTAATTTGAAAGTTGCTTTAGAATATAGTATTAATATGAAAGGAGTCCCTGAGTTAAGCAAGTGCTCAACTACTAGTATGAAGGATGGTGGTTTGAACCCACCCAGAGGTATCTTGGGAAACAGGCCTGGTGGTCAACTTCCAAAAGGTGACAGCTTTGAAAACCCTAGGGAGCAGTTGTACTCTGTACACGTGGGGTCGCCGTGAATCAGAACTACCAACAGCATAATGTGAAATGTGGTTGTGGTAGTTCTTGGAGAGAAAAATGTGCTTCAAGAATATTGAGTAGCTTTATGAAACATATTGATTTGTTGGTTTATTAAGAAAGGCAATGAGGAGTTTAATCTGTTTGGAAATAGGAGGATATTATAAAGGATTTTCCTAGCTGCTTTATGTATAGATGTTTCTGCTGTAATGCAATATATATGTTCCTGAAAATTCTCAAGTTCTTCAAAATTGTTTACCAAAACCAAGAAGAATTTATGGGAAAAATAGGGTGTTAGGGACAGACCACTCAAAATTCATGCATGTCTCGTGACTGGCTTAACAAACATGTATATTTGCTCTAGTATATATACTATAAACCAGTTGCCATCGAGTCATTTCTGACTCGTAGTGACCCTATAGGACACAGTAGAACTGCCCCATAGGGTTTCCAAGGAGCGGCTGGTGTATTTGAACTGCTGACCTTTATGATAGCAGCCAAACTTTTAACCACTGTGCCACCAGGGCTCCAAACTATAGTATGTAGTATTAAAACTTGTGTAGGGAGATCAGTGGAAGGAGCTATAAGGAAAGGGTATTGGCTCCTGAATTATAGAAACAAGAGCAAAATGTACGAAGGTTGGATGTAATAAGCCTGTCCAAGATTAAATATGTGACTAACCTGAGCCAAGAGGAGGTGACTGCTTTGTTTAGCGAGTATTCCTTCTTTGCTTCCTGCATTCAGCTGGGTTGCTATACTTTTTTTCCCACCTCTTATTACTTGGTGATAGAAAACATGAACATGCTAAGAAAAAAATCATGGATGGTAATCAGGATGACATCATTCTCTCCTCACCATTTGCAGATAAACTTTCACTTTATGAGGCATGATCTGTATCTATATGTGTCTGTAGTTCATGCTGTGTGTAAACAGACAAACGTCTTACCTCTATGAATAGTAGGTCTGGTTTCACTATACACCAGTGATGTGTACCTAACTTGTTAAATAGGGTAACTGCTCAGTAGTGCTTTGAAATCATGTCATAAAAGCTGGTCATTCTTTAGGAGTTTTAGATAAACTTCAACCACGTGTCCGTGAATCTGAGTCAGTCTGTTTTTCACAATGGCCTTTAGTTAGTCTGGAACAAATTTTATAGGTTTGAGCCCAAAAGTCAGGATTCCAGTTGCACTTTCTAGGTATTTCTAAGTTTGATGGATGATAAGAGATGATCTTTTTATAAAATTTTGTTTATAGGCCTAAAATTTAGTGTTATGCTGCTAACAGGTGTTAGATACTGAAATAAATTACAGAAGAAAACTAGAATTGTCTTATTTTGTTACTTTGTTTACATTTTCTTTAAGATAGAAATCTTGCCTTAGGTTATATAAATACTAGTTGAGAAATAGCATATGTGGCTGCAGATTACCATGTATTCAAGAGTAATCACATATTTTACAGTGGCAACCTAAAAGAAGTATAATAGGTTTTATCTTTTATTTTTTTTTGTATTGTTCTTTGATAGATTTACATGCATTTTGAGCCTCGTACTTTAGATGGTGATACGGGTCCACCATTCCAAGAGCCCAAAAACCTCTGAAAACCAAAAGCGATTTTTACCCTTTTAGTTTGCCGTGAAAACTCATTTAACAGTAAAACCTAACCTGAAGAGTTTTGAAGGTGTTGAATTATTTATTTGTTGTAAAAGTGTTTATTTATTATGTTATTGTTGTTGTTAGTTGCCATTGAGTAGATTCCAACTCATGGTGACCCCGTGTGTGCATAGGGTTTTCAAGGCTTTGACCTTTTGCAAGCAGCTTGCCAGGCCTGTCTTCCGAGTCACCTCTGGGTGGGTTAGAACCACCAACTTTGCAGCTAGTCAAGTGCTGAACCGTTTACGCCACTCAGGGTGCTTTTACTTATTATACTTATTGTTTATGTGCATCCATAGAATATTGAATTGTTACTGTTTCTAAACAGGTATAAGGTGCTTCCCCAGGCCTCTCTAGGAATATTGTGTAAGATGTACTTTTTATATGTAGTAGTAACAAAGAATAGGAATGGCATTTAGAAACTGCCAGATACAGATGAAATCATCTCAGTTCTCTAATTTCAGAACAAGCTACATATATAAACCCCTTAAAGAGCAAACAGGAGCTGGGTTTTACTCTTTTTTCGTATCTTGTACCATGCTGTCCACACAGTAGGCACTCATAGAATTAGATGATTATCATACCTTTTATGCAATAGACCTATATATGCAATTTTCTATGACTTCTGAGTGTGTGTATTTTCCAGGCTCTTGTTTCAACCCCACTTTACTTTTTTGGTCATGTTTTGGGGTTCTGTATAAAATATCATATTAAAAACAAGTGTTCTTGAAAACTAGTATCTAGATGATACAGCTTTTTAAGTCTAAGAGTCCTAAAAGGCTTACAACAAAATACAGTGAGTGGTTCTCTACCTTACCCATCTCTATTCTTTCAGTTCTCCTCCCTAAATTCAAATACTTTTTGCTGTTTTAGGTGTTTACTGTGGCATTTGTAGTATTTAAAACAAAAACAAAAACTTGTCATGGAGTTGATTCCGACTCATTGAACTTATAGGAAAGAGTAGAACTGCCCCCATAGGGTTTCCAAGGCGATAATCTTTACCGGAAGCAGACTGCCACATCTTTCTCTCACAGAGCGGCTGGTGAGCTCAAACCACCGACCTTTTGATTGGCAGCCAAACACTTAGACCGCTGCGCCACTCAGACTCCTTGTTAGGGTAATACTGGCCTCTTAAAATGAGTTTGAAGTGTTCCTTTCCCCTGTTTTCTGAAAGAGTTTTTGAGAATTGGTATTATTCGTTCCTTAAATGTTTGATAGAATTCACCTGTGAAACCATATGGCCCTCAGATTATTTTTTGCAGGGTGGGGAGATTGGTTTTTAGTTACTAAGTCAATTGCTTTAGTTGATATAAGCCTATTTAGGTTTTCTGTTTCTTGTTGAGTCAAATTTGGCAGTTGTACCTTTTAAGAAATTTATGTATTTCATCAAATTTGTTAGCATAAATTGGTAATATTCCCTTGATTACTTATTAATGTCTATACGATGTACTCATCCTTCTTTTATTTCTAGTATTGGAAATTTATGTCTTCTCTTTATTTCTTGAACAGTCTAGCTCAAGGATCAGCAAACTTTTGAAAACTTAAGGGGCAAAATAATAAATATTTTAGGCTTTGCAGTCCAAAAGGTAAAAATCTAGGACATTATATAGCCATTTAGATAACCACTTAAAATATAAGCATTAATTATTTAAAAAAAAAAAATTCTTTGCTTACAGTCTGTAAAAAATATGTCACTGGTGAGATTGGGCCCAATAGGACCAGGCCATAGTTTGCCCAGACCCTTGTTCTAGGTAAAGGTTTATCAGTTTTATTTTGTTGATGTTTTCAAAGAACCAGCTTTTAGTTTTGTTGAGTCTCTGATCTTTATTTTTTCTTTTCTTAATTTGCTTTTTTTCCCAGTTTCTTAAGATTTAAGCTTAGATCATTGATTTTAGACCTTTCGTCTGTTCTAGAAAGCATTTAAAGCTATAAATTTCCTTCTAAGAACTTGTTTAGCTGCATTCCACAAGTTATGATATGTTGTGTTTTCATTTTCGTTAATTTAAATAAAGGGAATTGGCTGACCTCCTGATAACTCTATTACAGGAAGTTGAGTCCCCAAGTTGTTTTTGATTGAATGAAGTTCTGAATATCAGAACTCCAAATACTATTAAAGGTTTGAGAGCTAAATGAATTGGATAATCAGTGAATAATTATGTCTTTAAATAGGTTCTGTATGCACTGATAAATGTTTCCTCAAAAAATTGTTTTGCTATTCTCATCATTGGATGTACGTTCACATACTTGATTTACTTTGTTTTCTAAGACTGTATGGTATTTGTAAGCTGCTTTAAAAATAATCCTAAAATTCAGTGTAAAGTTACCAAAAACATACTTTCCAGAAGTCAGTGCTGTTAAATGTTACTTCAAGGATGTGTACAAAAATAGAAGCTATTTTTGTAACAGTGTACATGTTTTTTTGTCAGTACATTTATTGGTTTTGTTCACATCTGACAATAAGAATAAGATAATGTTGAAGAGGAAGTATAATTTTCTTAGATATGTCTATAGAGGGAATAACATCTTTAGTTTTAAGGACCAATTCTTATAAATGGGTAGAGAAGTAAATAACTGCTTCTGTTTTGCATATTGAGAAATCAAATATAATTATGGACATTTAATTGGTACTGTATGAAGAGAGAGCACAGCATTTTTTTCCCTCATTCACAAAGAAAAGGGCTGATTTTTTTTCTGATTATATAAGGAATGAGGCTATTATTAAATATTCACATGATACAGAAAATCATATGAAATCTCACAATCCTAAAATAACCATCATTAACATTATGTGATCGTTCTTTCAGGTACAGTGTCATATATGCAAACACTTGCCCCTCATAGCAAATTTAGCATGAGTGGCATTATGGATACCCTTTTTCTTTCATCCCTTACCCATCACAGCTAACTGTATGTATACTTCTATATCTTTTGCTATGTTCATAAAAAATATATGAGAATTTTTGGCAACTATATTATGTACTTCCGTATCTTGCTCCCCTCCCACCCCCCACTTTCCAGTACATGGTGGCAATCCCACCAAGTCAGCTGGAACAGACCTAACTGTAATATCTCATTGTATGAAGTAACACAATGAATTCAGTCATTTCCACAATGATGGGCATTCCCTTTACTTTATAAAATTT